AGCACCTTGGATAATCTCCAGAAATCAATTTAAAGGGTAATAAAATAATTGCTGATGTAATATTTTCCCTATAATTATTACAAAAACACAAAATAACTATAAATAAATTATTTACAGTATATTTGTGTATAAGCTGTTTAGATTGTCAAAAAGCCTGTGTTTTTAGGGTTATTAACATAGTTTGTGTACTCAGACCAGTAATATTTGGGGTCACAAGTTTTGCCATGAATATTTTGTGGGTCAGAAGATTAAAAGTTTGGGAACCACTGCTGTAAACTCTACCTCAGCTTTTCACCAACGTTTCTTTCACGCAGATTCACTTTTTTAAAATGAACAGAATAACTGGACGTTTCCAGTTTTAGTCCAAAATGTAATGTTAGATATTTCTATCCATATACATAGTGCTTTGTGTTTTCTTCTCCTCACCCGTGACTCATTCTCTCTCTCTGTTTCTCAATGTCCAGCGTCTGCTCCTAAGCTGCGGTTGATGCGAGGTCAGTCTCTGTTGGAAGGAGACAGGCTGTACTTGAAGTGCGAGGCGTCAGGAAACCCCAGCCCAACCTTCCGCTGGTACAAAGATGGACACGAGCTTCAGAAAGGCAGAGACCTCAAAATAAAAACCAACAAGTGAGTCATTTACTCTGGTTTACCTTTGAACGAAACAGTCTAAACTTTTTCTTAGAGCTTTGCCTCGCAGACGATACTTGCTGTGGGTAGAAAACGGAGCTTCGTTTCTTTTACATGAGTCCAAAAAGAATTGTGGATAAATCTGCATCACATCTTGTTCAGAGTGGAAAATGTTTAAAAGAAGAGTGGGTTTTAAGTTCTGCTGGGAGATCTACAGTTCAGAGTCATAAACATCAGAATACAAACAGATAACTCATTAAATGATGCAAAAATCTATTTTTAATACTGTTTAAATATAACTCTTCAGATTCCAGTGTTGTATAAAGTAGAGGTGCACCAAAAAATGTTTTACATCAGAACCGTGATTCTCATTTAATTCAGAATCGATTTAAAATGTTCCCATTAGGGTTGGGCAATATTGGCAAAAAAAATTAATCATGATTAATTGTGGTATTTAGCCGATAACGATTAATTTCACGATTAATCCCCTGGACACCCTTATGTCCTGGTCACATGACCAATTTAGTGGGAAAGATTTGCTCTTTGTAAAAATCTGTTCCAAATTGTGTCAAAATTACAGACTTCAGGCTACACATCAAATTTTAAATTTGGTTTAGATAAATAAATTACAGAACCTTTTTTATGTTTATCATATTTGAAGTGGAGAGGAGCAGCGAGCGGACTGACAGGTGACATTAATCGTATTGTTAGAAAATACGTGTTCAAAGACAGAAGTCAATATGAAAACCACCACTGTTAAATAAAATGATGTGTAGAAGGAATAAAACCAGACAAAACCAGAACTCTGGAACTGAGTGAGTTTTTATTGCCACCAGGCTGACAAGGACACCACACTCCCCAAAAACCAGGAAGTGCATCCATTTATACACGATTCTCCAATGCCTGCGTTCGCCCCCTACTGACCTACCGCTGAATCACAGGCATTCATACAAAAGTCTCATCAAATATTATAACATTTTAATTATGTGTTGTTTATAATTCGGACATGTAACTAATCTATATCAATCAAAACCTAATAGATTAAACATTGTCAACATTATAAAAAGGAAAACCTAAAAATAGTGTTGTGCTTTTAACATCAGTACTAACCTCTAATAAATATAAACTTCTTCAGTATTAATCGTCAAATGCCAAAAAGTAATCGATTAATGTTTTTCTGACGATTAATTGCACACGATACGATTATGCCCAAACCTAGTTCCCAAATCGATTTTTATAAATCCAGTGGCTGTCAGCCTCCATGTTGTAACTACATGAGACATCCTGACGTCATCACACAGCTGCTTCTGGAACAGATGAATGAGCAGAAAGCACCGAAACAACGAGGAAACTACAAAACTGGAGGAAAGAGAGATTCAACTGACCCCGTCTTCATTGAATGCAAAGATTTGGGCTCATTTTGTTTTTTTACTGAATGAGTCTGTTTGACATGAGTGAGGTGTGTGAGGTTTGCAAAATGAAGAAGTACTTTGGGAACACGACAAATGGGCTCACTTTATCAGTTTTGAATGAAAAATAGATTTTGAACCCAAAAATCAGAATCGAGTCGAAACAAATCGAATCGCAAGACAGTAAAAGATTCCCACCCCTAGTATAAAGTACCTCAAAGTGATACTTGAGTAAAAGAACAAGTATCTTATCATAAAAATACTTTGGTAAAAGTTAAAGTCTTCTATTAGAATATTACTCAAGTAAAAGTCTTAATGCATCTGATATTTTTTCTACTTAAGTATCAAAAGTAAATTTCTGACACAAAATCTACTTAAGTATTAAAAGTAAAAGTACTGAGTAAAAGTGAGTGGTTAAGATTTTCCTAAATGACATTTATTGGGAGGTTACTTCTCCAAAAAATACTTTTTATAATGGCGTTACTCCTTACCTTTTTTTAAAAATGTAGTGAGTAGAAAGTACAGATAATTGTGTAAAAATGTAATGAGTAAAGGTAAAAAGTATGCTAAAAATAATTACTCAAGTAAAGTACAGATAACCAAAATTTCTACTCAACAACAACAAAGTATTTGTACTTAGTTACTTTACAACTGTGTCAGATTCAAACTGATTATTGTGGCAAAATATTGTCCCCTTCATACCTGATACATTTATTTTACATTATTTTTATCTTTCAAAGGAAGTCTTGCATGTTTTTTTCTTCTTCCTTAAACTTCCAGTCCCTTATAGCTTTGCCGATAACAAAGCATTTGTTTCTTAGAATCAGTCCTATCTGTTTTTAAAAAAATGTTTTTGTAACAATGTTGTTTTATAGTTTGTACTACTCTCCTTTATACTTTCTCTGTTCCCTTTTTCATCTCTTAAGAAAAAACTCAAGGGTGCAGATCATCCACGTGCGTGTGGAAGACTCCGGGAACTACACCTGTGTGGCTGAAAACTCCTTAGGACAAGAAAACGCTACAAGTATAATCAGTGTGCAGATCTGTAAGTAACAATAAATTCACATTGGACTTATTTAATGATAAGAAATTTGTGAGAAAGACATCAGGTTGAGAGTGTTTTATCTGATATGAATAATAATATTTTGTGCAGGAGCAGGCGAATCCCTTTTCTTTGAAGTATTTAAAAGAAAATTTTATTTACATGTCTGTTATTACAACCCCAGTTTCAATGAATTTGGGACGTTGTGTAAAACATAGATATAAACAAAATACAATGATTTGGAAAGCCTTTTCAACCTATACTCAACTGGATACACTACAAAGTCAAGATGTTGGCTGGGACAGGGCCATACCTCTGTGTTCCATCAGCTTTCCTTTTTAACAACACTCAATGAGTGTTGGGACCTGATGTTAGGAGACATGTCTGGACTGCAGGCAGGTCAGTCTAGTACCTGCTAGGGCTGTGTATTGGCAAGAATTTGGCGATACGATATATATCATTACAGAGGGGTCACGATTAGGGGCGTAAGAAAATATCGATACACTGAAATATCGCGATATTTCATTTCCTGATACTGTATCGATATTTTAAAGCCCTGTATYRATTTTTTTATTAAGGTTTAAAATGTCAACTTTCCTGCCAGCCGTTCATTTTTATGTTGTAGTTCAGCCTCTGACCACTAGTTGGCAGCAGTGAGCCAGCCA